GAGAAATTTTTTCCGGGACTATTTTATATATTCCAATACTTCCAAAAATTGTGCGGTGATAATTCATTCACTAATGTCGACTGGTAAAATGATATGATTATAGACGCAATCATATTGACAATTACACTAAGCAATTAATTGACTGTGTATCTAAGAGCTTCGACCATCTAAGTATAACTGAATTGATTTGCTGAAGGTTACGAAATATCATATGTATATACAATAAAAGACATTAATATTTCAATAGAATGTATTTTTATCGATTATTACCGTTATCCATCAATATTCCCATCTTCTCTTGATTAAAAAGACAAAAATCAAGTTATATGCATACATATATATATATATTTTCTCGATGTTAAAATTTTGATAATAAAATTCATAAAGTCCAAGAAAATGAAAGTACATAGAGAAAAAGGTTTCTTTGAATTTGGAGCATGTTTACTTGCGTTTGTTTAATGTAACAATATAATTTAATATCGAATATCATTTTGTTTGAAAATGAGCAGTGGTATATAATATTAGTCTTTATATTTCTACATTGTTTTTATGTGTTAATTTATATCTTCTTTACAAAAGAATTTTTAGAAAGGAATAAAAAATATATTAAATACATATAAATATATTATTACTATAATCAGTGGAATAATTACCAAAGTATTGCATAATCCAGAATGAAATTCTAAAGGTGCAATAATTATTCATGATTAATGACTATGGAAAAGTCTTGTAAGTTATTTGAAGATTATTCTTAATCGGTCTTTCTTTTTTCTCCGCTTTTATCTCCCCCCCTCCCCCCTTTCCTCCCGTTCTTTCTCTGTCACGAGCTCCTTTTGGATGAGCTTGTCTGTCGACATTTCTAACGGGATTAACACTGCTATTGATACTTTTGCTTTTGCCGAGCGTCGCTATAAACATGACCCTTTAACGAAATACCGCATTAAGGGCGCTATTGTAGTGTCGAAAATGGCGGCATAGTAAACCGTGTTGTTTTCAAACGGTCGTTCCTGTCGGACAATCGGACACATTATCCGACCTGAGCTACGAACCGGAGTCATGGATATTTCGAGCATGCTCGAAGTACAGGTGAAGGAAGTGAAAGTAGAAGCAAACGTTAAAGAGAATGGTGAGCAGAGCCGTTCGAGGGACAAAGGTGTGCGCGATTCTTACACCTGGTTTGATATCGATGCACGCGTAACCTAACCTAACTGCTACCTGTCTCATCGTTTCAGTAACACCGAGGGTTCAGGGATCCGTCACCACTTTACAACCTATACCGGTGTCTGTGGAGGAAGAAAATTACTATCAGATAGCGTACGGCAACGGTTAGCTCCTTGAATGCAACCAAAATCCAACTGTTATCACTTGTTCTTGATGTGCAGATTTATTTGGCTTCTGTCTCTCACATATCGTATCATTGCGCATCCTGAACTTGCGGAATCACGAGGGATCGATACTTCTCAATGCCAAGGGGATTGTTACATTCTCATTTTGATTCCTTTTTTCAGATATCGCGTCTGTACGTTACCGCAGGCTCCATTGCACAGCCTGCGATGTACACATAGGCTCCGCTCCGTCCCAGGTTCACAACATGTTGGAGCATCCGGTACTCCGCACGCTGTTATGCGCGAGATGTCGTGAATTTTACGGGGATGGCTTCTTCGAGCAAGGTAAACGCTTTAACCGATACTTTGGTTATTTTACCAGAGGTCGCCCATCAGGACACGTGGTTTTTCGCGTTTCATGCTTCTCCGTTACGTTCCTTTCAGGAGACGACGCCACAGACATGTTCTGCAGATGGTGTGCAAACGGCGGTAACTTATATTGCTGCTCTTACTGCAGTAATACGTTTTGTTACAAGTGTATAAGAAGAAACTTTGTGTCTTTGATAAGGAAAAAAATTGAGGCGGACGAGAAATGGCAATGCTTCGTGTGCAACCCGACCGATTTGTATGACGCGAGGGCTTTGTGCTGGGCTCTGCTTCAACATATACACACAGTGACAAGGTATTGGGAATATAATTACCTTTAACAAGTAAATATTAGGAGAGCGTGTGCGTGTGTGATTTACAATCAATTTGTGAATTTACAATCCGATTCCGTGTGAAAGGGCCGTTAAGAGCCTAAGCGGGGTCATTTAGTGCCGTTAAATCTATTTAATAATGACTCGTGCTTGAGCCCTTGACGGCCCTTGATGGCCCTTTCACGCGAAAATCACTTCTATTGTATTATACAGTGCATTCAAAAGTTCCGGGACGATTATTTTCTTCTCGGCGCGTTAATGGCGCCATCTACGGTTCCGACGGTGGGACTAGTTAGCGCAAAGCTTCGCGAGTATTCCTCGCGCCGCCATTGAATGAACAGTGTACGCTTTCAAGCCCGGTAAGGCTCATACCGAGCATGATTTTCGACATGGAGCAAAGAGCGGCGATCAAGTTCTGCTTGAAATACGGGAAGAGCGCGTCGGAGACGTTTGCGCTGTTGCGAGACGCGTACGGAGAGGAGTGTCTGTGTCGCAGCAAGGTGTTCATGTGGTACTCACGTTTCAAAAACGGCCGTGCGTCGCTCGAGGACGATCCGAGAAAGGGCCGGCCTTCGGCGGGCAAGATGGACGACAATGTGGAAAGTGTGCGCGCTCTTCTGGCCGAGAACCGCCGGCTGAGCATGCACGCGATCGCGAAGGAGCTGCGAATCAGCGTGGGGAGCGTGCACACGATCGTGCGCGGCGTGCTGATGAAGAGGAAGGTGTGCGACAAGTTCGTGCCCCGGTCGTTAACGCCGGAGCAAAGGGAAGAGCGCGTCGCGGCGGCGCGAGATCTCGTGCGATCGGCCGACGCCAATCCGAATTTCTTGAACAGCATCGTCACGGGCGACGAGTCGTGGTGCTTTCAGTACGATCCATCGGCGGAACGTCCGAGAAGCGACCCGGAAGAGGACCGACCGATACGAAGAGCAGGATCGAAGCTGAAGACGATGTTGGTCACGTTCTTCGACTCGCGAGGCCTCATCCACCAGGAATTCCTGCCGCAGGGCCGAACCATGACCGGTGCTTTCTACTGCGAAGTCGTCGATCGTCTTCTGGAAAAAATCCACCAGGTCAGGCCGGAATTCCACCAGTCGGGCGAATGGTTCCTCCTGCGCGAAAGCACTCCGCCACACTCGTCGCTCGTTGTGACGAGATTCCTGGCGCGGAAGTCGGTCACGATCATTAACCAGCCGCCCTACTCGCCGGATCTGGCTCCGGCGGACTTCTTCCTCTTCCCGATACTGAAGGCGGCCTTCGCAGCGACCCGTTTCGAGGATATCAGGTCCACCGAGAATACCGTAACGGCGGTTCTAGAGGCCATCCCGAGCGAGGACTATTCCAGGGCCTTCCAGGAGTTGTACGAGCGCTGCCAAACGTGTTTAGAGAGAAAGGGAACGTACGTTGGAAATTCAAAGAAATGAAATATTGTTCGTCTGCGAAATTCGGTTTCTCATTGCGCCGGTCCCGGGACTTTTCGAACGCATCGTATCATATACGCTTTATTGTACGCGACGACATGAATGAGATAGCAGATTCTTATCAGATGTAATCCGCCTTCGGAATTTTTATACACTTTCGCAATTACGAATATGCTCACGATCGCACTTGCATTTAACTTGAACTCGGTGCGTATGTTTCAGCATACTACAAAACTCGAAGTACATGAGCCGAGAGGAGATCGAGGAGAAGATGAATCTGGACGAGTCCCAGTGCTGTCCGCGCAGGAGTAAACGTAAGCAAAAACGGAGACTCGAGTCTAATTCCGAGGAGGAGGACGAGACGTACGTTCCTAAAGTGAACGGGATACCGATAATCGTGAAACGTAAGCCTCACAAGAAAATCAAGCCGAGGTACAGCGCGCCGAACGGCGCGAAGCAGGTGCGCACATATCCGCCGATCCCCATTAGACCACGTCCGACTTCATTACCGAGCGGTAATCAGATGAAGGAACAACAACAGCACGAAGTCAAAGTCAAAGTTGAGCGGCAAAAAGCGACGGCTGGTGTCGAGCCACCGAAGAAGAGCGCCGTCGTCTCACCGCCTCGCACGATCAATTCCTCCGCACCGACGCGCTACGATTCCAGTCCACTTCCGCCACCCCTGTATCATACGACCCTCCTGAATCAAACCTCAGCATCTACCACTTACGTTCGGCCGATCGGGCCCTCCGTTGATCGGAACCTCATGAACCCGATGTTCCATCAGATCATTCTGCCGCCGCCGCCGGCGTCGCAGGTGCCGGTGATCCAGCAGAAGCCGTCTCAGTCCCTTCGGAATGCGGCGAACGCGATGGTGTCCATCTCGAATCCGGCGGAAAGTCGCTTCGGGCCTCGGCTTATATTTCCGCAAGCGAGAAATCCCGATGTCACGTTGACCCCTAATATAATCGAGCTCGACAGTGATTCCGACGACGACGACGACGACGAGCCGAAGATCGTCGAGCAGCGCGACAATTGTCCGAGCGACAACGCGCCGAGCAATACGGGCACCGCGGACGTCTCCAACAAGGTGATACCTGTTGCACTCTTCAGCACGGAAAATGACATTAGAGAAGAGCAACCTCTGAAAGAGATGCGCACGACTTTGAGGAAGCCCACCTTCAGCGAGATAATGTCGACGCACACTCAAGAGCTCGAGACATTTTTCGGCAACATGAAGGAAGGTATGCGCGACTTCTTCACTTCATCCGAGAACGAGACAACTGCGGATGTCAATTTAGCGACGCGTCGGAAAATCAAACGGTTCCACCGAAGTATGCGCGAAACAGTTTTCCAATTGGCGCATATCAACGATAGAGTGATACGTGAATATAACAAATGGGAGAGGGTCCAGAAGACTGACACTGAAACGTCGACTGACCGAGGCACAAAAAAGATGCCCCAAGAAGGTGTGGAGATTCCCCTAAACATGACCTGCGTGAACGAGTCTGACACCGAGTCCGATAGCGAGGGATCGGAATGTCAGATCATGGAGCCTTCCGATCGTGTTGAATCTAGTAATATTCTCGAAGATTTATTACCGTTTAAAAAGAAGACGCGGCATTGCGGTGTTGGTGATAGCGCGCTTCTTTCGCCCAAGGACAAAGCGACTCAGGTGTACGACGTTGTTTCGAGGGATTATGAGAAATGTATCGGTTATTCCCTGTTGACGAAGGCCCGTTACGACGACAAGATGGAAGAGAGTGTCTTGGAGCCTGTGAAGATACCCAACGAGAACTTCGACAAGTACCAGGAGCAGTTTATCTTTTATCTGCAACACATCGAGGATCACGGCATCGAAACGGAAGATACGAAAGGATTGGAAAATCAGGACGGGACCGTGAAAGAACACGCAGCGGCGGCGTATACTTCGGAGTTACAGCAAAATATCGATCTGTTTACCGCGTCTGTCGGACAGCCGGAAAATTGCAATGAAGTGGGAAATTCGACGAGTCTCATCGATTCCGAAGCTTACGATAAGGCCGACGTAGATACACCGGATCACGGGAAGACGAGCAATAACTCAGATTCTAACAGTAAAATACGATTTACAGATATGCAACTTAGCGGTGGGATTCGGAAAATAAAATTGCAGAAAATTCAAAATGGTGCCACAACGTTAAGTAATGATGACGTGAGCTCAAGTAAAAATGCTGACGAAGTGGTACGTACAGAAGCAGCTGTGAAAGCGAGGGAAAGCGAGGAGGACTGTACAATTATCGATGATTAATGAAAGACTTCATTAAATTATGTGCAACTATAAGTAAATACTCTAATGATTTAATTTACATCACTGTAGTTGTAAAGTCTTCAAGACTGCTTTAGACGATCTATAATGCACGACAGAGAAAATTAATAACGCGGAAACGGAATATTTATTTATAATATCATCGTACGAAATTTAATTAAAAATTAATCCATGGCTTATAAAGATTTGTACTATTTCATTGTACAACAATGTACTATTTCATTATACTAATTATAATAATTCGAAATGAAATAGTACAATTATATACAATAATTACATACAATTATATACAATTGTACTATTTCATTTCGAATTATTATAATTAGTCGAATAACTAACATATTACTATAATATCTAGCCAAAATTATTAAGATTTAAGAATGAATATTGAATTTCTGGTGCTATCTTTACATGTGTGTGTGTGTGTGTGTGTGTGTGTGTGTGTGTGTGTGTGTGTGTGTGTGTGTGCAAATATACATATGTAGATGTAATTTTGATTTTTCGACCAAAACACTCTAAGGAAGAATTGAAAAGATAGATTCTGTTCTCTCATGTTACAAAACAACATCAATAAAATTCCTTGTTTTTTGTTTAAATTATTGTGAAAAAAAAATCTTATTGATTATTTAAATTTCGTTTTTGTATCACACAGCACACTAAATTATAAATAGAGATTTGATCGGAAATTATAGATCGTTTAAAACACATTTAATATACTTTGTAGAAATATGGCTATCAGATGCTTTTATGAAGATATTCCATATATTTTGAAAAAAAAAAATATTACATTGTCGAAAATGATGTATATTGTGCATTAATGTAATTTTATCTTTATATTTTATTTTTAAATTAAAAAAATTACTGACGATTCGGAAATAATTTCTATCAAATAAAAAACTTATTGCGAAAAGAAAAAAATGCTTAGGTTAACCTTTCCTTTTTTCTTCAGATATATTTCTAATGCTTTGAATGTCAAGTTGAATTCGTATGTGTGTGTGTAAATTTCGTAAACCCGAATTTCTGGCCGCTATATACGATCGCATGTAGAGTTATATTATTTAGTACATTGCCGATACACCGCACAAGTTGCACCTGACTAGGCAGTATACTCAGTAAGATCATTCCTAATTGAGTGAATGGAATTCTTCGGAATCTCACACGTCATCTGAACTATGAATGATATAACACTCAACGTGTTAAAAGCATCAGGTTGTGATGAAAAGAAAACGACTACGCTAAAAATCGATATGAGGCGCGTTTAACGAAACGGTCCTTTCAAATAGGTCTGCTATCGAAATTTATTTAGCGACGCACGATTCTCGTGGGAAAATTTTTTAATTATTGCTAATGTACATTCTACCACAACGTTTTAACAGATGTTATCTTTATTATCTTTATTATTTGTTGAGTTTATGGAAGATGATGTTGATAGAATGCGATTAATCTTATATTCTTATTCACGGTATTTAATTAATATCCGTTACATTCATCTGGCAGATGTGTTTCAAATCTTGTCATTTTATATTTTCGTTAATGTAATTTTGTTTTAATATCATATAGTTTCGTTTATATGTAATGTAAACGATGTCTTACTCTTTCTCTCGGACGATTTAATTTTTTTCCTAGGAGAGAACCATTTGATACCAAGACGACAAAATCAAAATCATATTTTAAAACGTGGAAATATCATAGAAGTATAGTATAGCCAAGTACTATAGTATAGTGTTCATGTGTTATTATCCTTTTAGTATTTTCATATCTTAAATTTCATTACAACGGCAGTTTCATCAACATAAGCTATTACATTAGATTTACGACGATTTCAAATGTAGCCTCTCCAATTAGATTATTAAAAAATTGTATTCTTGTATTGTGCGATGCAATTATCGTGTATCGTATAGTTATACTCGATATATATATATACACAGTTTTTTTCTTGATACACGAGCTGAGTGCTGAATTTATTTATTTTTATGTTGCATGTATACACACACACACACGTGCGCGCGCGCGTACACATACATGTATAATACGACATATAAGAAAATAATTATCGTTTTATTCATTACAGTGCCGCGAGGCTTAAAAAAACATGTAAAGTATAATCACACGTATTAGAGACAAAAATTTCTTCTACGATTTGTACTGTGCTGTATAATAAAAACTGAGAAACTTTTTATTTATTCTTTTTATCGAAACGTATAAATTTAATTAGTACGGTGATAGAGTGTCTCGTAGATGTATCGTGGAGCAGTCTTTCTGAATTTTTTCAAATATTTTTTTCTAGTTGCCAACTTACATTGTTTTTGTACACCAATTTTCAAATTATAATTTCACTAAAAAGTAGAAAATTCACTCCCATTATGTAAAAGTAAGTGAAAAATAACATTCTATTTCCCGTTCATAGTTCTAAAACCTTCAATTTCTAAAGAACATATCGATTTCAAATATTTGTAACTTAGGAACAATCGATCTCCTTGCGTTTTTATTAATATTTAGGCCTGAAATTGTGAAAAAGACCTACACATAAAAAGTGCTATGAAGGATGTGGGATATCCTGTGTGTGTATGTATAGAATATTATGTAGTTATACGAACTTGTACATAAGACCATGATGTTCCGTATATATATATAATGAAAGAACGCAACCAATGGTTTAATCTTTTAGTTATATCGTCACGATAGACACATGCGCAATGATTATGCGAATGACTCATTTGTGTGCGCCTATATACACATACATGCTATACATATAAACGCCAATATGAGATACACTTATTTCTGCTATATATGCTGCGTATACGTTGCGAATTGCGTGTATGTGTAAAGGTGCGAGTTTTAAGAGAGGAATCGTATGAGAGAGATAAGTTGATTTTCAACAGATTAGATAATATTAAACTTAATGTACGTAAGTTTTGTAATTAAGTCATTGAACTCATTTTACTCTCGGTAGCTGTAAATGTTTCAATCCCATTTAAAACCTATTGAGTTTTATCTAAAATAAATTTAATATGAATCGTCAATCATCGTGGTTGTTTCTCGTAAAGCGCAACGATCACAACACATTTCTCTCCAACGTACTTTTTTATTCCACTTTTTGTCGTATACATATATATATATATATATAACTCGCAGAAACGTAACATTCGCCTGGTCGAGTAAACATCTTACTTTCAGCATATCGATATCTAGTCGACTTATATTACACATGAAGACGCGTGTAAGTCTCGCTGTAATGTTTTTTCTTCTTTTTTTTATCATAGAAAGTCATTTATCTAGTCGTATCCCTGTAAGAGAGTTTGTAATCAACGATTTGTGTACAAAAAGAAAATCAACTCGGTAGAAAACTAAAAAAAAAAACCGCATGATAGTTCGTAGCTCTCGATCATGGACGTTTGTATATGAAGAACGCAATCTCTTACTTTTTTTTTATGTATTACGGTACGCGAAAACATGTTTACATTCGTATGCAATGTTACTCATCATCGAATACATTGTGATTTCGCGTGACGTGGACTATCATGGAATACAAATGTAGAAACTGATGGTGTAGCTCGTACAACTCGTACTTGAGCAAGTAGTGGTCCTTCGTACAATAGTTTACATAAATAATAACACATTAACACGCCCGCTACCGAGCTAACACGCACTGGCGTAGCGGACAAATTTAATGTTTGAGTGACGCGAGAATAGACGCGCTAACGCATAATGCGTTGCGCGTGTATGGTAACGAACGTGTTAAGAAACAGAAACGGTAATGGTCGTCGAGTCGCCTTAAATAGAAATCAGAGATATAAAGTGAGCGATATGAAGACACACGAGAGAACACACACAGGTCGCTGGCAGCAGGTCGTCGCTGATGATACACTCATATGCGTTGCACTGCGAAATCGCAATTGTCGCAGCAATTCCTAGAACTCTTCGGTTTTATCCTTACGTATAACTTCTCAGTATCGAAATTGGCCCTTTCTGCCCATTCCGTTATGGTACACCCTTAGTGGCGTGTAATTCCCATTTCCGTTCATTGCTGTATTTGCAGAATTATAGAAACAAGAAAAAAAAAAGTCATGAAAGCGACGAATAGCCGCGTATTTGGGAACATCACGTATGGCGGACACACGGTTTTCCCCGTTTTCATGCATGCACGGGGAAAGGAAAATGTGTTACAAAGAAGAAATCTACGGAATCGATCTTTCCCCGATCGTGATGAATTATTTCGATTCATCGTCAGAGTCGGAGGAAGCGGTTCCAGAGATTTCCGCAGATGTGTGTGTGAGAGAGAGAGAGAGAGAGAGAGAGAGAGACGTATCGTTAGACAGTACGCAAAGTACGTTTGTTCCGAAGAACGCGAAGCAGAGAAATCACGACGATCTTACTTGATCACTTACTCAATTCGTAATCTCTTATAGCAGCTTGCAAAGTCATGACATCGTTAGACAGAACGCTCTCGCGTATCTCTCGATTGGTATGCGCGATCACGTATCACAGTTTATAAAAGTCGCTCACCTTGCACAATCGTGGAAGGTTGACGGGGACCTTGGATGGTGTGTGCGTGACATTTTGGCTTCAGTAGACCGTGGTATAATATGAAATACAGGACAGCAACTACGGCCGCCGCTACCGCCATGCAACAGTAAACATATCTAAGCGAGTTCACGATGTCCCCGTCGCCGATATTGACGTAAGCACCGATGGCGGCTCCGATGCTCCGACCTGCACGTTCAGACGTAAAGTAGAAATCGATGGTTCGGATCATTAAGGAATTTCTGCAATACCGTCTTTCAAATAAACGCGAAAGTACGTTCCGGTGTTCACTGTCAGCACTTCAAATCGGCGGATACATGACGGAAACGACACGGTTAATTCGCAGTGCTGACAGTGGGATATTGATTTAATATCATATTGCAAGAACTCCCTGATGATTGTTCGGTTGTCACGTTAATCGACGACGTACCGAAGCCGAAGTGAGCTATCACAGGCAGCCCTTGGGCGGTCACCGTTAAATGGCGCGGTACCAAGTGTCGCAGGTAAAGAATGGCAGTAACCCACATTATTCCTAAGGTGAATACTTCGAGAGCCTCCGAGATCAGAGACCACCAAGGTTCCGCTACGAGACTCAGTCCGATGAACCTGGGCAAGGAAAAAAAAAAAAGAAAAATTCGCTCGACAGCGATATCCTTGACGAGCGCGAGTGTATAAGAGAAGAAATCCAGATCGATCCTTTCCTCCGACGACGGTGAATCCTCATGTGCCCGTCGGAGCGGGAAAAACTTACCTACCTAATTATGTACACCGTGAAGGCAGTGATGAGAAGATTGCTGTGGCCGCAATAGTCCACGAGATGCTCGGACTTCCAGAGGAACAAGAACGCCGGTATCGCGCCGACCGTCATAGCGACGCCGATGGAGAGCTCGTCGCCTCCTAGCCTCTGCAAGTGCCTGCGTTTACGCAAGAAAAAAGAGGTGTCTCAGTGCCTCGGACGAACGTATTTCTATCACTCGGTTGTTTACGCTCCAACTTACAAGGGTAGATAGCTGTCCATCACGCTCCAGAACGTTCCCAGGGCTAACAGAACGAAGAAGAGGGCGGCGGTCTCGCAGCCGTATCTCTTGACGGCGCTCATCGGCAACGCCAGCATGCCGCTTCTCGTGTGCCACCACCATTCGGGCGGGCTCAGCGGCATGTCGTTCGCCGACAGGGCGACGACGGCCGCGAGGATCATCATCACGGCGTGCAGGACGAGGGGCAGCCAATAAGCTGGCCCGATATTGCTCGTCAAGACGCTCAGATAACCGGCCAAGGGTCCAAACAGGGCGAAACCGAGAGAGCCGAAGGCCAATTGACGTCCAACGTCACCGCGGCCGCACGACGTCTCCCTGGTTGCTATCACCACCGCCGCGTCGATCAAGGCGACGGCGGTCGTGGGGAAGATATCCGCAATTCGCACGGCCAGGTATATCCAGACACACGGTCTGCAGCCAAACTGGCCGTTGCACGACGCCACCGCCCAATCGCCGAACGGTTGACACTGGCTTTCCGCCAGCACATTGCCTGAAATGCGATGTCATCTCGATATAGAAGGGAATTCTCTACCTTGTAGTCAGCAGGGGGGGGGGAGGATACAGCCGGACGATCTAAGGGTGATTTTTGCCAGATCCTGATCAAATTGACCGACGATTGACCGGCAGAATTGCACACAGCCGAGCGTATTAGTCTGAATTCTAAAGAGAATCATACCGGGCAGGGTATACGGATCGATCAGGTCGCATTCTATGGAGCAACTCTGATTGAACTCGGCTTGAATTCTGATTTCCAGATCGGGCGGTATGCGACAGGAGAAGTATTCAGCCACCGGATAGGCGCACCATTCCTTTTCATTTTCGGCATTCAAAGCTTGCCCGAGGCTACCATTCACCTGCAAGCTGCCCGAGTACTCCGTATAAACGTGACAGACGACGTTGTCGTCCTCGTCCTTGTAACACAGATGCGGCGGCTCGTTCTCGGCGATAATGTAGCGACGGGTTTTTCTCGTCTCTTCGTGATCCTGCTGAGATTGTAACGCGTGAACGACGCGCGACTTTATCAGATAACGCGACGCCGCAATTCGCGCCATTTCATGCGATGTGCTCGAGTTATTGAAATCTTACTTGCACGCCTGCCAATGGTGCGACCGTGATCGCACCGCTACCTTCGAAATCGGCGTCCGGGTCGGTGTCGACGGCGTTCTTGAACACCGTGGTACCTAAGGCGAATTCCGTGTTGTACCGTCGTCCGGACCCGCTCGTCGGGTAACAGGCGTAGTTACAGTTCTCCAGCAACATGGTACCCACCCCGCTGTCGTCGTCCGTCCAGCGATGACAGCCGTAACGAGTCTCGCATCGTTCTTGCCGTACCTAAGTAAGACACTCTCGATGTGAGATTTGCAATTTAATGATATTTATTTCAACCGAAAGAAGAAAGAAAAAATAATGAGCCAGAGCAAAAAATTATACACATATATATATATATATATATATATATATGTGTGTGTGTGTGTATAATTTTTTGCTCTATATATATATATATATATATATATATATGTGTGTGTGTGTGTGTGTATTTTTATATATATTTTTCTATATTATTATTAATTACGAAAGACCCAAGTGTCCATAATTAAAATCGGGTAGCCTTTATCCTTCGAGATGAAATCGATCAGAGGACTTTTTTGAAACAGTTTCTTCGGTATTCTCACGAAACTCTCATTTTTACATCGACTCGAGTCTATACGATCTTTTCTTTATATATAGTCTTTAGTAATAAAGTGTAATGATGTAATAAAGTCATTTATTATTATTATTATTCAGTGATTACCATCGCTCCGTGCCGATCGCAGTTGAACTTCAAGCGTGGGCCTTGCCCGGCCGACAATAGAGCGAAATCCTTTCTAGGCATTAGCATCAACAGCGAGTAGAAGAACGCCGAGAAGATGCAGGCGACGGCGATCATCACACGGAGGTAACGGCCACTCGATGATTTGTCATTCTTACCGTGGCGCCTAGCGAGCTTGTCGGCGATCAGTCCCGCTACCACGGGTCCGATTATCGCGATCGCCGGCGAGACTGTCGATATGAATCGGACATCCTCGATGTTCAATCCCACCTTCGTCATGTGCAGAGGAAGAAACGGGAAGAGGCAGCCGAGGCCTGAGAAAAAGGAAGGCAAGAGGATAATCTCGCGAGTCGCGCCGTCGAAAGTCGGAAGATACCGCAGCAAACTCTCGCTGCACGGAAATAAACAATTCCGTTAAATGTCATTGAATTTTCCGCTATATTGAATTTTCTATTATATTTTCTGCTATATCGATGCTTTTTCCCGAGTGAAAGGGCAGGAACAAGATGCTCACCTCCGAAGAAGATGAACAGAAGACACTTGAGGGATATCAGATTCGTGTTGACGAGCTTCTTTTTCGGCAGGTCTTTGGCCATGTCCATCTTCTCCGTCGACGCCGTCGTAGCCATCGCGGACGAGCCGATCGTGTCTTTACTCGGGAACGATCGCGGATGCGCCGGTCAATTGGGACGACCTGGGGTCGTCTACTATAGCGGCTGCTCCTCTATCTCCATTGCGATGTGCCCATCCTGCGTGCCGCTGGAGACCACGCTGAAGAAAGAATTATGCGGATGATACGTACTAGCTATTTATAAATATTTATAGATAAGCAGCGCGCCTTCCCTTCCCTTCCTCCCTGCTTTGCACCCTTAACCGAGAAAAAAAACAAACGAGCGTTATCCTCGTCAGCTTTGTACAAGATGAAATTTTTGATTATTAATCACGTTGAAGGTATACCATTTCATTGGCATTACGAGTAATAAAAACGTCGGATGTTTTAAACGTCGGGATGAAATTCTTTCCCGTCGCGATAATTCAAACCGAACAGAGATTTGATAGTAATAATAATAATTTTTTAAATAATATCTTCTAATGTTAAATTTAAATGAGATTTAAACGATTACAAATAACGAAAGTAACGATACATAGTGAGCCCCGTTAACGTCCCGAGTTGATTGTTAATTAAGCGAAAGTACATCCGATAGATCTTCAAAGTTAACTTCTTGGAGAGCACGTCAAGTTCCGCACGCGAAAGAGAAAAAAATCGCACATTTTTTATTTGATTCTTGCACGCGGAGTCGTCTCTCTCTCTTTCTAGGATGCAAATTAATCGCTCGTCTAATACAATTGAGCTTTACGAGTGTTCCATAACGACACTTCGGTTGACTGAGCGAGATCGTCATGCGATTCGGACGCGTATAATCGGACAGGAAGACGATCGCACCTGCACGCGAGACATCAAAGGCGACCCGCGCGAATGTGACATATAACGATGCCACGTGGTTTCATAATGCGACGACAATGAAATCATTGTACCGTATTCGGCCGGAGACGTGCCTTGGGAGCAGAATGGCCGATACGTAAGGCCAAAATGTTCATGGATCCCCATGTACGAAGACGTGTGCGCGAACACGCAAGCCATTTTCCTCTTTATTCTACAGCATGCGTTTTAAAAAAACATTCGGCTCGTTGACGTGTCTCGGGGGATGTATCCTTTACATTTCTTGGAGTGAAAACTTACTCGAAGCGACTTCGTGTGACTTTTCGCGCAAAAAAATATTAACAAATTTATTTGTAGAATATAAGGCTTATTTCACAAAAACAAAAAGATTCACTTCACAGAAATAAAGTTTATTTCTATGAAATATACTGTATACTAGTAATCAAACACTCGGTTGAAACACATTCCACCGAATCTTAGTAATTTTTACGAGATCCTTCTTTCAATGTTGCGATCTCGAGTGACAGTATTTTCACCATCGCTATCAGAGCGCAAATACCGCCGCTTTTCGCTTGTTTTAAAATCTCAAGATTCCACTCCGAGAAATTTGAGAGATATGGATTTCAGGTACTCCAATCAGAAACGCGGGCCGACGGTGCAATTATAAGAATGACAAAAATGGTGAAGGACTCGATAAAGCGCTCCCCCGATGTCCTTCGACGAGCCGTTCGACGAGTCGTTCTCTCTTTGGTGGCGCGCTTATTATTAGATATCATATTGGAAGATCGTTTTCCCCGATTAATATAAATGGCGGGCGAATTCAGCCCGCGTCGTCCAAGAAAGACAGTAGGTCGCAATTAATATTCCACCAGCGCGCGACGTTTTTTCACAGCGCGAAACGCGGTGAAACATGCGCGCATTGCGAGAGCGGCGCGGATTGAATCCGGAGACAAACACAGGTCGCCGGTAAATCTCCACGGCTTACCTCCGCATCTGTGCCTTGCACGTGCGAAACAAACAAGTCGGGAGGGGCGGGAGGG